ATTCGTCCTGGATGGTGTAGCAAGAAGAGCTGAAACTGGCTCTTGGAGGGCATTTTGACCATGAAGGTGTCTGGAAGATTTCCAGTTTCCAGCAGAATGCAAGGTGATTCCCTGCTGATCAACAGGTTATTCTTAGCCCTGGAAGCGTTGAAGGGCTCTGGGCTGGGAGATGGGACCCAGGCAAAGACGAGACCACCTTGGTGCAGCCTCGAAGATAAACTTGATGTCGGATTTTGAATTACGTACATTCTAATCTATACTTGCAACTCATTCAATTCACATTGCGGGGACAAAGTGCAGGTGGTGTACTTGGTGGCGGCATCGCTGACTTTTTGACAGCTAGTGGGGTCCTTTTCGTTTCCATGATTCATGCAGTGTCAGTGTTGCCAAGGAGGATGGGCAGTCGATGCACATAGTTTGCCATGGGCCCAAGACCAGGTCATTCTGAATTCGCTTGCCTGCATGAATTGGTGAATGTCAAGTACATGGTTGAAGCAGATACAGATATTTCACCGTGATAAGCAAGGGCGCCCCGCCCAGTATCGAGGCATTGAAAGCATCAAAATCCTCAGACTTAGCAGGGAAAGGAGCTTCGTTGCGTGACTTCAAACTCCATACATCAAGCTCAGTGTGTGCCTCCATAGCTCCAAGCCTGCGCTTGATAGCACGGCAGCATAGCTCAGCAGCTAAGCCGTAATTGCAGCAACTTGCAGTGACAGACTTGTGTGAACAGTCCCAAGTTTGCTAAGACGGGGCCAGTGTGGCAGCCAGTCCGCGCTCCTTTGCAAGTCCCAGGACTGGGCATGTGAGTTGCGGGTGCTTCGAGACTTTGCAATGCTAGTTGGTTTGCAGTGCCGACAGGATTGAGAACATGGGCTCTCTGCTGCAAAGGTGGACTGACTGCCACGTTGCCTGACTGCCGTGTTGCCTGAATGCCGTGGTGCAGCTTGCCCTACAGGTTGATTTGCATGATTTCGTCAGTTCCTCTTCCTCCGTTCCGTCTCAAAAGACTACCTTCACCAGGTCATTCCACAGCTGTTTGACCGTGTGCCTACAGGTGGGCGCTAGAGCACCAGCTGGATGAAAACGTTGCCAGCAGCTAGCTCGGGTCATGCTTACAGTAACAAATGCAGTCAGACATGCTTGGAAAGTGGCCATGTCTGAATTAAGTTACCATAATGGGTATATATAGTAAATAATAGGGTTTCCCGAATATAGTAACTTAATTTAATGTCCCTAAACCCTAAACCCTAAACAACCAGAATTGACAGAGTCATTAAGACTGGGCCGTCCTCAAGTGCAAAAGTTGATGTGTCGGCCTGTGGATGTAACCGGAATCAATATGAGCTCTAGTCTAAACTCCCTAAAGGGGGAATATACAGGGGATGATATAGGGGACTACTATAGGAGTTATTATAGGGGTTATTAAGGGGGATACTAGGAGTTTAGACTATAGCTCATATGATAAATTGCGCTTACATGCGCTTACTCTCGCATAGTCTTGCTGCTACCGTGACATGCCAGTATTGTTGCTTTGCTTGCCCTTCTAAATCTCTCAGTGACTATGCAAACGCCTTCTGACGCAGCTCTTGAGTGTCCTAGGTAGCATCCGGAGAGTCCTGGAGGTTCCAGATCTTTTGCCTGCCAGAGCCCCAAGTATTTGCACTGCCAAAGAGGAAGCACTACCTGCCAGGGGCTCCTTGAACAGTTGGAGATCAGCCCAAGAAGCTTCAGTTGCTGAACTTGCTGCTTCATCGCCGTCGTGTGGAAGGACATGACCGGCCTGACTGAAGAGGAAATCCGCGCCCTCCCAAAGGCTGGTGCCTCATGGTCTGTGAGCGCATTTACTATTGAAACTGCTGTTACGAAACTGTTAAGATTATTATGATTACGATTATTATTACTACTACCAGTACTACTACTACTACTACTACTACTACTTTTGCTATTACTATTACTCTTACGATCACGATTACTACTACTATTACTACGGTGGATACAAAAATCCGGCATGACCCTTAGTACCTTACACCTTGGGAGTTATGGTATTTCAGTATACTAAGGTCATGCAGGATTTTTAGTATCAACAGTACTACTACTATTACTATTTGTTGCCAAGCACCCGCCAGTTGTCCGGTCAATTTTGGGATGCATACGATCGGAAGCTTCGGTCAGCTTTGGTCCACACAGTCCACAGGTGCAATTCTCTGCCAAAGACATGCAGCAGTGCTCCATCTGCCTGGAAGCTTTTCAGGACGCAAGAAAACTTCCATAGGTTATATTGGGTTTAGGGTTTAGGGGTTGTATTGGGATAATAGAGGGATATATTGGGGTTATATTGGGATGATACAGGAATATTGGGATGATATAGGCTTATGTAATTGGGGTTATATTGGAATGATATGGGGATATTGGGTTTATATGGGGTTATGTTGGGGTTGTATTGGGATAGTGTAGGGATATTGGGATAACGTAGGGTTATGTGGGTGTTATTTTAGGATAATATAGGGATGTTGGGATAATGTAGGGTTATGCTGGGGTTATATTGGGAGAATATGATATAGAGATATTCGGATAATATAATAGGGTCATATGGGGGTTATATTGGGATATACAGGGCTATTGGGATAATATAGCGTTGTATTGGGATAATGGAAAAGAAAATGGAAACTGTTATTAAGAGTTTAGGGTTACCTAAACCCTAAACCGTAAACCCTAAACCCTAGTGAATGACTTTAGATGTCGACCTCTAAGCTGGCCTGCACAGGTAGGATGTAAAGTTGCAAAGTCTTCCCATAACCGTAGTTTCCATTTTCTTTTCTACTATCCCAAGATAACCCTGATATAACCCCTACGTACTATAGTAGTTTCCATTTTTTCTACTATCCCAAGATAACTCTTATATAACCCCTGTGTACTATAGTAGCTTCCATTTTCTTTTCCACTATCCCAGTATAAGCCTTATATGACCCCGATATGCTATAGTAGTTTCCATTTTCTTTTCGATTATCCCTATATCCCCAATAGAAACCGTATATAACCATACCAGGGCTTCCAGCGTGCCACGAAGAGTGATTCTAAGAGCTATCTGAACCTGGCAGCAGGAGGGTGAGCTCCTCACTTCCCTGCGCTGCGGACACTTCTTTCACGTGGAGTTTGGGCCTTGTACCCTTTTCTTCTGCTTTTGGACTGCACCTTTCCCCTGAACTCTTTACGATCTTTACGCTAAACCCTAAACTTAAAACCCATCTGAGTCTTCTCAGGTGTGTGGCAGGCTGGATGTCAGAGCCTCAGTTGGTCTCAAGCTGTTTGGTCTTGTCACAGCTGGGATCTCTTTCGAAGAAATCTGTTGGCAGCGCGTTCTTGTGGCATTGGGCTGAAGGCGGCTCAAATGCTATGACAACTATGAACTATGAGCGGCGAGTGAAGACCAACCCTTATATAACCCCGATGTACTATAGTAGTTTCCATTTTCTTTTCCATTATCCCAGTATAAGCCGTATATAACCCCGATATGCTATAGTAGTTTCCATTTTCTTTTCCGTTATCCCTACTTTTTTAGATAGCCCCTGAATATCAGCACCTCAGGTTCAGGCCTGCTGCGGTTTCACCACGAGGGCAGAACAGGTAGGATTATATTGGAGTTATTTTGGGATAATGGAAAAGAAAATTGAAACTACTAGTTAGGGGTTCAGGGTTTAGGGCTTATAGGGTGATGATGTCCGGTGCCCTTCTAAAACTGCCTGCCGCTCTGAGGCAACGAGCTACAATGTGCCCGCTTTGCCGGGCGAGCTGCACGGATTAAGCGCTGGTCGCTGTTGCTGCCGCATTTGACGGCAAGACTGCCTACTTTGTTTTTTTCCAATGCGCGGTGTGAGGGAAGTTATTTTGATGGCAAGAACCAGGAGCTCGGGAGTGAAGAAAAACAGCATCTGGTCGAGTTGATCTTCACTCGCACCTCTCAATTCTCGTTTAACCCCAAAGAGCTCCAGCTCTAACGAAACCTACAGAGCAAAACAGGGAGACAGGTCAGATCATCGGCTTGCTACAAAGCGGTGTTGGTTAGAGTCTTTGCGTTTGATTCAACTGATGTCTTTTTTTTTTGGATTGTGCGCCATGCTGCAGCACACGTGCTGCGAGCATTGTTCAGCGGCACAACATGCACGCGGCTGTGGCAATTCAATGCCTGGCATGTTTCTGTTTGAAGCATCCCGAGCCAATCCACAAGTTATCAACTCAAAGTGAAGCGGCAATTCAAGTTCGACTTCAGAGTGGCACAGGTGCCATCTGCTGTACATGTTACATTGCATTTTGCACAGGTTAGCCATGTACGTCTCACACAAGGTTGACATGAATCTCTGCACTTGTGCTGGGTTGATGCGGGCTGGGCATTGGTTTAGGGTTTGGGGCTTGGGCTTGGGGTTTAGGGAGAGCCAGCCCGACAGTAGTGCATTTGGAATACTTCGCAGCCAGCTCGCTAGGATCCTGGCGGTCCCCTCCAGCGAATGTTCACGGAATTTCGCGGATGTTGGAGGAAGTGTGCGGCGAAGCCGCAAAGTCCTCTTTAAAGGCGCGACATGCACACGGCTCACGGGCCAAGCAGGGCGCACAAAGTGTTTTATCCAAATGCAGGGTTTGTGCCTGAAGGAACTCCATGTTCATGGCTGTTCATGACTAATTAAGGAGCAAGATGTCTCATAAGGAGGCCGAAAGAGATTTAAAGATGAGACCAGCCGGACAGGGAGCAGTGAGGTTGGTGTAGGCTGGAGCAGGTTTCCTTCTTCACAGGAGAGTTTGGAAGGACGTCCGGACTCAG